CCTCTGTGGTAGGCAGGACATGACATGCCAGAACTAACTGCATGAGTTTGACTTAATCCCCTTTGTTACTGTATACATTGCAAAGGCACATATCAAAGAGTTGTGATGATGACAATACTCCTGCCTACAACACCAAGACAGGTGACAAGTGCACTGCAGGTTTCAGCAAGATTCTGCAAGCAGTAAATACATCCAGAAGACAGTTAAAAAGGAACAGGTAAGTCAACCCCTCAGATTCCTAATTCGCCTACAGACATTGACCTTTTAAGAAGTTTACTGATAAATTATTTATAGCAACATTCACCACAGTTACAGACATTTTCAATATTTCAGTCTGTGGGTAATGTATGCTTTGCCAGTCTTTCCGCTTTACAGGAGCAGCATGTTTCTAGGACCCTAGACACAGTATTTAAATAACAATTGTCCATAAAATCTAAGAATCACCTACTGCAAAAGGAAAACTAAAAACTGTATCAGTGTGTAGTTAAACCTTCAGTATTTTGGAACACAGCTAAACAAAATTAAAATGTATTAATAAAAGAAAAAAATGAAGAAGGCGTTTCATTTGGTACTGTTTTTAATGAAAAAAAGAATAGCTGTGGGGTTTGGGTGGTTCTGCATCACCTAAGCGTGTCCACAACAGTGCAATCCTTGCAACCTCCCTGCGGCACCAGAGCCAGAAAATGGAAGTAACCAAACAGATCAAACCAGTTTCTCTGCCTTTTCTGCAGAAACCTCCTATGACATACAAATCAAACAGCTGACCTCCTACCAAGAAGATCAGGTTTATGACAGAGACGTTTCACGCCACGCACCTCAAAGCAGCTTGAATTCCTTTCGTTTGGCAGCCCCTGACACTACGGGCTCCTGCATGGAAACCTGTTTGCTATGAACATTTTTAAAGACTTCTCTCCCAGTTAGGGCTGTCTCACACTGCAGAAGGCTGGAGACACAGTACAGCTCGCTGTGCTAATAACAGAGTGTCAGGCTGTTAGTCAGAGTAGTAGTGGGGCTAAGTTGCTAATCTTTTTAACTCTGATGGATGATGGGTTCTCTAAATGATTAAAGTACATCAAATGCCGAACTGGCTCCATCTGCTCTCTGACAAACACAGTCTTTCAGTGTCCAGAGGCCAGCAAGTCTACTAAGTCACTGTGGTACATCCCCAAAGTTAGCACTCTCTTCTGTTTCGACAGTCTAAACCCTAGAGTGAGACATGTATTAAAAAAACACCAAACACCCACCTGCACTCCATTTTTTAATATAAACAAAATATTTAAATAAGTGTGAATTGTCATGACAAAACTCAAGTTAATTGCTAAAGTTAATCATTACCCGAAGACTCCTCAGACACCACCTCTCCCATTGTCTGCATCATGAGGTGACTGCCAGAACAACATAGTCCCATTTTGGGAACTCATCTCACAGACCCTTATAAAGATTTCCCCTTCAATGACCTCGCCCAGCCCCTCTCCTCCTCCTCTCAGGATTGAAGGATGGATGTAGTTCACTGCAGCTGCAGTGGGAACCTTGCCCATCAAAAGATCAGTCACTTGAATCTTTCCAAGGCTCATGGTAGCCACATGGACACCACGCAGAGACCACTGGATCAGGACGTGGCAGACGCAGTGGTTTGGCCACTTCAGCCTGTGCCCAGAGCTGTGCAGACACAAAATTCCCACTTGCACTTCAGGACATTTTGGTTTGCAACTGTCTGAATTTACACCTATCAGAGACTATTTGGAAATACTTCCCTCTCAATTCATGTACTTTTTTCTCCCCTTCCCTGTTCATAAAGTTTGTTGGCGAGTAGCTGCCATAGGAGGCATGCTGCTCTGATGGTAGATATAGTAAAATTGCTTGTTATTTATATATTTTCAATAGATTCAGGTGTCCTACTCTTCTGATGAATTTATTTTTTTTTTAAAAGTAACACACTACAGGAAGGCACTTTACAACACAGCTCAAGATTTCATGCTCTTAATCTGGAAGCTAAAATAAGTCGTCTTTGCAATCTGGGTTAATAAGGACACATGCAACGGGCAAGCGTAACTGCAGTTCAAAGGAAACTGAAGGACAAAGACTGCAGTTTTCATTCAAGCTAATGCCACTAGAGTCAACAGAAATCTCACTCAAGTGAAGGCTGAATGCTTGAAAGAGTATTTCATTCCACTCAAATAAAAAAAAAAAAAAAGAAAATGTAAATAAGTATTAATACTGGGGGGAAGCATGCATTCTCCTGGGCTAATCAATCCTTTGTCCTGGTGGACAGCCTCACTGGGTAGCTGTTGTCTTTTCTGTGTCAGTGGTTTAGTAATGCTGACTTAAGGTCCACCAAAAGTATTCAGGCACATAGGAAGGTAAATGATGACAAGTTAACAGGAGGCAATCAGTTCCAGAGCAGCACAGCAGAGCAGCTGACCTCCAGCTTCCTGCAATCTAGGAACACGTTGTCCTTTCCTCTGAAACCTGAACCAGGGCCAAATCATCTCGCCTTTCTGAGATCAGTGGCACTGATTGAGCAAAACA